TAGATTAAAAATAATTCTAGGTCATTACATTTTGCACATTTGCTATTTTTCCAAGTTGTACATTTCCTCATAGCAGGTACGTCCTTATATTGTTATACCATCAAAGAAGAGCAGGACTGGAAGGGACCTGAGTCTAATCCTGTCCCCTACATTCAAAGTACTCATCTTCCAATAACCCAGAGTGACTATAAATGGATTTCATTACCTGAAAGGTGTAGTTTATAGGATCTAGTAATATCCCTTTAAATAGTTTGTAAGCTTGCCAATGCACCCCCCCATACAGAGTATTTGCAAAAAATGCTATAAACCACACTGGGCAAAGTGCCAGGCAATCTTCTCATCTGAGGTTTCATCATTAACTCCGAGTAACATGATGAACATAGATGAATGTTATGGTGATTTGGTTTTTAATCTGACTTGTCATGTCCTGAATGATTTTTTTTTTAATTCTCAGAGTCGCCCTGTATCCAGAACTACAGTACCATTACAGTTCCTTTAAATCACTGCTGGAGGGCCATGGGGCACGCTCCAGGCAGCACTGAAGGCAGCCTATCCCCAGCTCCACCCCTTCTGGGGTACAGAGCAGCCCTCCCTCCTGTCCTCCGCCTTGCCTGGGAGCCTGGTGAGGCTGTTGACCCCGCTGGATCATCCTGGTTGTATGCATGTATAATTTTTGTAGAGGAAGTTAAGAATATTGACCTGTGTATCTGTATGATACATTTGCTGCTTTGGGTTACACCCATTGCTTCAGGGACTATGATGAAAAAGCCAGCACTGATGGCCCATTAGCAAAAGACAACTGTAAAAGAGTTTAGTCTTCCTGTGAGCATGTGGGACAGCCTGTGAAGAATGGCTATACAGGGGCTCTACACAAACACATGACTTTGTCACCTAATGCTGGAACCCATCTTGAATTCTGTATTTTTGCATGAGGGGGTTCGGCAATCAAAGATTTCTTGCCTTATGGAAATCCTATAGAAGGCGGGGAAGAAAGCAATGATTGCCTTCAGCTGGCTTTCACCTCTGCCTCCATACCCCAAATGGATACTTGAAAAAACTTGAGAACAAAAGACTGAACTGGGGGAGGGAAGAGCAGCTCTCCCAGGATGGAACAATTATTTTGGCTTATCAAAGAATATTCCTAGAACAATATTTAGGGTGAGAAATATTAGCTGTGGCCCATTTCTGTAATGTACTAAGGATAATAAGCATGTTTTCTTTATTTACTGCAGTGACTTTCTTTGTTCTGTTGTTGGGGTATGTCTAGACTACATGGCTCCATCGACGGAGCCATGTAGATGAGTTTACTAGACATAGGAAAATGAAGCAGCGATTTAAATAATTGCCATTTCATTTACATCAAAATGGCCACCGCGCTGTGCCGATCAGCTGTTTGGTGGCACAGCAGGGCAATCTGGACGCACCGTGGTCGACAAGGGAAGCCTTTGTCGACTGCTCCAGTATGCCTCATGAAATGAGGTTTACTAGAGCGGTCGACAAAGACTTCCTTTGTTGACCGCGGCGTGTCCAGATTGACCCACTGTGCCACCAAACAGCTGATCAGCACAGCACGGTGGCCATTTTGATGTAAATGAAATGGCAATTATTTAAATCGCTGCTTCATTTTCCTATGTCTAGTAAACTCATCTACATGGCTCCGTCGATGGAGACATTATTCTAGACATACCCTCGGTTACCACTTATAACCACTTATAAACTATCTTCAACCTTTCAGTAATTAACTTTTCTTCTTTACAGCCCTGTTTATGCAAATTCTGACTGGATGGAGTAAGAAGTGGTGCATACCTTCCTTCACTTTGAGGAAGGAGGCAAACTTCATTTAATTTTGGGTGTGTACCCCAAGGAGGGGGATGAACATTGGGGTGCTGGAGTAAATCCTAAAATGAGTCTTACCAGAGGTAATATGTGCACTTACCTGTGGGTTTTGTTAGAAGAGGCTGGAGAACCTGGCTTAGTAAAACCAGGTAACAGGGGGTCCAGGCTGTCAGAGAAGGAGGGCTTAGTGCTATCTAAGCACCTCAGGTTACATCCCAGAGGTCCTGACCTGTCACAATTAGTTTATATGGATATTGTGGAGGTGACATTCTAAACTTCAGAGACTTCTTGGGGAGGGGACTGACTGTATTGCTCTATGTGTAGGTTTTGATTTGAATACATCTGTGAAATCTGACCTGACACCACAATAACTAATTTTTTTTTTTTTTTGGTATAATTTTCAGTGGAAAAAATTGTAAAGGAAAGAGAATTAATGACATTCAGAACATTCAAAATATGTGATTAGGGGTTGATTCTAGAAATGGTTTGAAATGAGGGAGCAGGGCCATAACAAGGGTGGAACAAGAAGGGCACTCACTCCGGGAACATCATAATTAGGGGCACAAAGATGCAGTAAGTAAAAATAATAAGCTGCAAAAGTAAAGAGCACGATATGTGCTAAACTAAGCAGAGGGGATGCATAATTAATATTTTGCCCTGGGTGCAAAAATATCTAGTTACAACGTTGTGCGGGAGGAAGCTTAAATTAGTTCATCTGTCACTTAATGCAGGGATTTTCAAACTTTTTGAGGTAAGCCACTCTTTTGAGTTATAATTTTTGGTTGTGTCCCCCAAGACAGATAAAAATAGGCACAATATCTACCGTTCTCCCCTTGCATTCAAGGTGGGGGAAGGCACATGCAACCGTCTCTGGGGAGGGGGCCAGGACTGTGCAGGAAGGCTGCTGGGAGTATAAATTGGTATGACTACAATCGATATCAACACTGACCCACACAATGGGTGGCCTGCTGAGGTGAGTCAGGTGGTGGAGATGACTCAGGGCTAGCCTGAACTACCTGGCATTGCTGCTATCCCCAGAATATTCTTCTGCCTCCCTGCCCTCAGTGAGATACACTCCACAGTTTGAAAATTTCTGGCTTTGTGTTTACCTATCTGAACAAATAGACTGTGGCAAGCTAAGGTATGAATCTACCCCTCATTAGCCTGTTGCAATCTTACTATCCCTGTGGACCCTTCTGATGAGCATTAACAGTTCAATTTTGTGCATTGAGCTAGTCCAGTTAATATGGGTCAGCAGGGTGCAAACAGTGCGTAGCAGGATCACAGCCCAGTTTGCTCTCAGCTAATTTTTCAGGCAGACACATTCTAGATCTCCACATCTTTTTTTTTTTTTCCAAAATAAATGAAGTAAACTGTTTCTTCCTTCGTCAAGCTTTGGCATATCTGTGATTTGTTACATTCAGAGCTTGCTGATTTTGGACAATTTGCTTTTTCTGAAAAGAACTTTGTTAGAATCCAACAATATGGTTAAGATTAGTGCTTTCATGAGATGCAGAATAAATCCACGACCCGCTTACATGTTTTTGATTTAAGCATCCATGGTGCAGTAGGCTTTTCTACAAGTAATTCCTTTATTCATTAGTGAGCAGAATCCAGACTGATTGTATTTCAGGAGAGCACAACCGCCATGTGCTAGATAATTTCACTACTTTACTCCTGTATTGAATCTTTACTGGTCCATTAGCAAAGATGAATTTCACTCAGCCGTGTTAGAATGCAAGTAACTTTTGAGCCCCATGCAAAGATTCGCAAGATTAAATTCTATGTGAAACACATGAAAATAGCTAGATGAATGCAAAATTATGATGTGTGTTCCAAGATGCAGGGTGGGATTTTCAAACCAGCCTAAAGGAATTAGGGGAAAAACATCCACTAGATTCTGGTGGGATTTTGGAACTTAAGTCTTGGAAAATCTTAGTCATGGTGTATACATACTACTATGGGCTAAATTCTGATCCTTTTACTCAGGTTGAATGGGACTGTAAGGGTGCGTCTACACAGCAGGACTTAACCTGAAATAAGCTATGCAAATTGAGCTATGTCAATTGCATATCTTATTTTGAAATAGCTTATTTTAAAATAGGGAGTGTCTACACAGCACTTATTTTGAAGTGGAGCATTCTTCCTCAAACTTCCCTTATTCCTCATACAATGAGGGTTACAGGAGTCAGAGTAAGAAATCCTCCAGCTTGACAATATTTTGATACTATTTTGAAATAGCTGCCTGCTGTGTAGACGCAGACCAAGGATAGGTCTACACTACAGAGTTTCGTCGGAAAAACGGCTGTTTTTTCAAGAAAACCTGAGTTACATCCACACAGCAATCACGTTCTTCTGAAAGTAAATTGAAAGTACAGAGGGGATTTTCTGGCATTGGTAATCCTCTTTCTACGAGGAAGAAGCCTTTTTCCGAAACAGCTCTTTCGGAAAAAGGCATGTGTGGACGGGGAAGAGGGAGTTCTTTCTAAAGAAGAGGAAAGAGGTAAAAGCACAAGTGCCCTGGTGGCCACTCCATCCATAGTAATCACAGCTTAAATGTGAGAGAGCATCCATTCAGTGTGGATGCTATTATTCAAAAAAGCAGATAGTTTTTTCAATACACTTTGGCAGTGTGGATGCTCTCTTTTGGAAGAAGTTTTTTCGGAAGATCTCTTCTGAAAAAAGGTTCTTCTGAAAGAAGCCTGCAGTCTAGACATAGTCTAAGTTATTTCAGAATAGCACTAGTCACTTTGAAATAGTGTTGCAGTGTAGATGTACCTTTAGGATGCCAGAATATGGCCATGTGTGAAGAATTTGTTTCTGAATACAAGGTTTTGAATCGTGTTCTGCCAGTGCCCCTTCAGATTCAACCCAGATCACCTTGTCACTGGGTTTACTCAGCATGCAGAATGGGAGGGACCTCCACAGGGATACTTTAGTTTCTTTCAACATGTGCATTTTTTTCTACCCTATGACATACAAATACAGTAACTGAGGGATGTTTAAACAGTGATTTCAGCGCCAAACAACGGTGCCTATTTGCTTAATCAAGATTCTGTGAGGTTACAATTGTCCATCAAAGTTGACCTCTATTAATACAGCTCTCTTGATTTCTCATCTTCCTTTGACAGACAAATCTTCAGTTCTCCTTCATGGAGTGGTGTGTTTAGGTTCCCATGCTGCACCACAGAGGTTAGTGGAGTTTTGCTTTTGATTTTGCCAGGCATAGAACTGAGTCCTATAAATGGGATTTCTTTGTTTTGACTCTTCTTGAAATGACTCTTAAAGGTCTGCATTGGTTTCTTGAAAGTGATGCTAATCTTTATATCCAATATATTTATGTAGAATGCAAACATTGGGGCCTCAGGGGGTCATATCTCAGCTGCTTTGAAATTATGAGCTGCATTTCCTTGTTTATACTCTGCAGCTAATGCGGGGTGGAAGAGTGACAACTTGAACCACATTTCTGCACCCCTGATCTCTAGCAGCATCAACATTCCAAGGGTATGTCTAGACTACATGGCTCTGTTGCCAGAGCCATGTAGATTAGTTTACTAGACATACCCAAATGAAGCAGCGATTTAAATAATCGCCGCTTCATTTAAATTCAAATGGCTGCTGCGCTGAGCCGATCAGCTGTTTGTTGGCTCAGCACACTATTCAGGACGCTCCGTGGTCGACATCAAAGGCATTTGTCGACCGCTCCATTTTGCCTCGTGGGATGAGGTTTACCGGGGCGGTTGACAGATGCCTTTGATGTTGACCACAGAGTGTCTGGACTAGTGTGCTGAGCTGACAAACAGCTGATCGGCTCAGCGCGGCAGCCATTTAAATTTAAATGAAGCGGCGATTATTTAAATTGCCGCTTCATTTGGGTATGTCTAGTAAACTAATCTACATGGCTCTGGCGACAGAGCCATGTAGTCTAGACATACCCCAATACTGTATGATATGCTGGCTGCAGCCAGCAATGACACCCAGCATGTGTATTTCACCTGTCATAGAGCTCTTCCTTCTCTACCCTAGCAGCTCTTCCTTCCCCCACGGCAGATAGATATCCAGTTGCTTTCCATTGCCTTAGCAGGTGCTAAGATTTGAACCCAGAGTATAGAAATTGAGTTGAATGTCACTAATTAAGCAGTTATGAACAAATAGTATGTTTTGTACTTACGCTTTTTAACATAAGCATATTAGTCATTTTCTGCCATGATAGTACATGGGGGTTGAGATAATTCCTCAGCAACCCTTCAGATCTGTGATTGTTGGGGAAGCTGAAATCATTTCAGTAGATGTTCAGAAAATACTGTGTAGGAAAGTCTAACTCTGAGCTAAATTCATGGCTTATCTATGCTGGGAAGCTAATTTGGATGGGTGTGAATTTGGAGTGGAACTCCTCATTAATGGCCTGTATGGATGCTCTTATTCTGGAGTAAGAGTCTTTTTTTCCCCTCTGAATGAGCTTAATCCCTTCCAGAGTGGATTGGGAATAGTTAATCAGAAATAACTTCCTGTGTAGACTAGCCCTTAATTACTTAGAAAAGACCTTTAGGTTAAAATCTATTAAAAACCTTGCATGGCACAAGGTCTATTATTTTCTTACTAACAGTTCAATGCCTGTATCATTTCTGGCATCTTTCTCAAGGTTCAATGTCTTATCTCATTACGCATACATAGCCCATACTTACAATTGCATCTCTATTGTAACATATTTAATTAAGTTCATTATCCTTTCTAACTGTATAACAGTTCTCTGTTTTAATTTGCATGGGGCATATCAAATGATATTGGCCCATTTCAAAGGATTCTTTAGATCCTCTGAAAAGGAGAAACCTTTTAAGTTAAAAAATATACACATTAAAACTTTGCAAAATGGATACATTCTCGGCTGAGGTCTGAGCAAACATCTTTTTTAGAATAAGCTCTATTAGCATTTTAATAACATTCTCGCTCCAGGAAGTCTTTGTTTCATTGGCTGAATACAGCAAAATATCCTACCATAAAAAATTTAAGTTAACTCACATTTACTTATCAAATTCAATGAATATCAGATAGCAAGTTCTGGTCATGATCCAGCAATAAATACCTAACAATATACAAAAAAAATGTACAAATGGACTAATATCAAATGTTCACTTTCTTCTTCTATATAAATTATGGGTGCTGATAAATACTGGTAGTTAAGATTTCTGTGGTGTAATTCCACAGACAGTAATAGGAGATATTCAATGCTCTCATTAGATATGATAAGACATTTTTTTGCAGGGGGGAGGGCGTTCTGTAGAAGTTAGACTTTTACTTGAAAAAATGAGAATTTTGAAACCCCCAAACTTCCAAAATCCTAAAAATTGTGCCTAAAACTGTCAAAATTTCAAAAAAAATGTTGAAAAATAAAAAATTGTCAAGAAAAGCATACAAATTTCCATGCAAACTTTTGTTTACTTAAAAATCTAATTTTTCATTGAAAAACGGTAGATGGACATTTTTTCTATCCCAGCTCATGCTGAACTTTAAGTATGGACACAATCCGAATGGCTCCTGATTTCATGAAAGTGAAGCATGTTCTTAAATGCTTGCTGAACTGGGGCCTATAGGTTATTTTTAAAATTCACATATCAGGGTATGTCTATACTATGAGAATAGGTCGAATGTATTAAGGTTGATTTTTAGCATCTGTAAAGTCAAAGGTGAATGTCCTCATTGCACGCATGAGGTCGATGGAGTGCATTCCCATTATGGTGGGTGTCTGTGACTCGGACAGCAATGCACTGTGGGTAGCTATCCCACAGTTCCTGCTGTTCCTTTGCATCTGGATTAGGCTTTCAATGCCTGATGGGACAAAAACATTCCAGCGGGTGGTTCTGGGTGCATGTTGTCAGTATCCCGTAATGCACTTATCTGCTCCCCTTTCCCCCCACTTGAAAGCAATAGAAAATAATTTTTACATGCCTTTTTTCCCCTGGTTATCTGTGCAGATGCCATAGCAAGACAAGCATGAAACTCATTCTGCTTCAACCTGCTGGGACAAGTATTGCTAACACCTCATGCATTACGCTGTGTTAAGTCCAGAGCCTAGCCAGGAACTGCCAGAGTGAGGAAGAATGTGAGGAGGCCACATACACAGATGTGCATGAAACTACTGTGTGAAGCAATTGGCATATGCTTGTAGCAGTCGGTCTGGTTGATGCAATGGAATGCTGATTCTGGTCCTGTGAGACAAGCACAGACTGGTGGGACCTCATAGGTATGTAACTATGGGACAGTGAGCAAAACCTTTGCATGCGTAAGGCTTCTTTCATGGAAGGGATTAAGCTAATTTGAAAAAAAAAAAAAGAATCTTACTCAAGAATAAGAGCAACCATACAGGCCATTAATCAGGAGTTCTACTTCAAATTCACAGCTATCCAAATTAGCTTCCCAGCATAGGTAAGCCATGAATTTAGCTCAGAGTTAAGTTGCTTTCCCTCACCCTGAATCACTGCAATACTAGAATGAGACCTGCTCTGTCAGTTCAGAAGAGAGTGGCAATAGCTCTGCAGAAGCTTGCAATACCAGACAATTACCAGTCAGCTGGGAATCAATTTGGAATGAGTAAATCTATATTGGGACCTGCTGTGACCCAAGTAGCCAGGGCAATCAATACCCTGCTGCTAGGAAGGATGGCAACTCCGGGAAACGTGCAGGACATGGTGGGTAACTTTGCCATGATGGGGTTCCCTATCTGTGGTGGGGCAATAGATGAGGCACTGCAAATCAGAGAGGCTTTGTGAATGAGCAGACAGTAATATGACAGCCATGTATGTTGCTCTTAACAAAGTGTCCCCTGCATTAAATGTACTGGCTTGTAGGCCCCCTCCCTCCATGTATGACACAACAATAAAGATCCTCTTGTTCAGAAATCATGTGTTTTTATTTAGGAAATGCAGGGAGCAGAGACAGAAAAGGAGGTTGGGGTGTGAGCACGGAGGGGTGGAGGGTACAAGGGGCTTTTCCTAAGATCCCCCTATTCAGCAACCACAACGGTGGGAATGGCAGCCTTCTGTTCCACGAGACATCCCTGGGACATGAGTGCAAGGTTGCTCTTGACCCCCTCTTTCCCCTGCCCTCCTCATTCTAGGACTCCTGAGAAGGGAGGCAATGGAAGCTGGTGAGGAGGGCAGATGGTTCCGCGTATGGTGCAGGGGGACTCTGTGCCTCTACCTGGTGCCTCAGCAGCTCAATTTGCTGCCCCACAAGCCTCAAAATCTCATCCTGGGTCTTGGATTCATGTTCCCTGCACACTGTCCTCTCCTCATGCTTTGTTCGTGGCACCTGCTGTGTCGTTCTCCTCCATGCATTTAATTGCGCCCTGTCAGTGCGGGCGGATCGCATTTGCTCATTAAACATGTCATTCTGAGAACCGTTTTTTCACCTTCTGATCTGTCAGTGCTGAAGAGCTAGAGGAGCCAGGAGAGGGGGGAAGAGACTCACTGTTACATCTGCTGTAATGAAAAAAGTGAAGGGCAGACTTTAGAAAAGATGCAGTGTAGAACATAGAAGCAGATCTTTTACCATGAAAGAACCTCTGTCCTACACAGATCTGCATGGTGCAGCTGGACATTTTGGTTGTAGGCAACAGACTGGACCTCTTGCTCTTTTGCTTCTACTTTGTAAGCCCATGTGATGCAGTGGCTGCAAACTGCAGCTCTCATGACTAGGAGAAATCCCGTGGCTAATTGGCTAGTGTTAAAAGAATGTGTACTGCTATAGCAGTGTTTGGAGTGAAAAAATCATTTCTTGCTATAAATTCCCTCTGACTGCACTTTTAGGGTATGTCTACACTACCCTCCTAGTTCGAACTAGGAGGGTAGTGTAGACATACCCTTAAAGACTTCCTGGGACAGTAGGACTCATGAAGAACGCAAACGTGAGAGTCATGTACATTCATCACAGGAGGGAGCTGAAAGCACCGTTGATTTGGAAGGAAATCGTGCAGACCTAAATCATGATGGTAAGCAAATGTTGAGAAACATTTTATCACCTGAAGATCCCTTTTCTCCAGGTCCATTCACCAGTCTTGTGATCTGACCAAGATAAGCATTAGTAATAGAGGTATTGCATATGAAAGGACAATGCATCCAAATTTAATGTGTCTCAGAACAGTAGGTCATTTTTCCTCTCCACATCTCTAATTTCCTTTTAACTGGGTAAAAAAAAATTGCTTTCATATAGCAAATGTAAGACTCCTCTTCCCCAGCTTTAATTCTCCAAGCTCATAATCCTAGAGTGGAATACATTTATACATGACTAGAAAATTAAAACAGAAAATTCCTAAAAACCATCAAAGTAACAAGCTATGCTTTGCAAAAATGACAAATAATTTTGTGCTAGTGAAACATGGTAACAACTTTACAAGCTAAGCAATAAAAAATGCATTTTTATTGCTGAAGTACATTATAACCCTCATTTGAGAGGAATTTCAGGCTGGTTTGAAATCACTCAGTGCATATGTTATAGAAAGTCTAGAGGCATTTTGTTCTTTATTAATGAAGCATGAAGAGAATGGCACTGAGAATATTTTTTTTATAAGTTGAGGCTTCAACTTTCTCATATGTACATTACACATTGAGTCATTACTAACGAGATTTCCATAAATTAAAAGGCCCAAGTGGGGCAATCATGTGATTGGCTGATGGACATTGAAATAATGGTGTAACTATGATTCTTTCAGTCATGGCCACTAATGTTTGGTGCACACTTTTCTCTGACAGGTTTATGAAAAGGGGAGGAGACTTGCAAACCTGGACATGACTGGCTTGATTTCAGTATTTGAACAGAGAATGATAGAAAATCCATTGTGTTTAAAAAAAAAACCCAGCAAACAGCATTTTATCACCGTTCTCTGGGTGTTCAGAAGGCCGAAGACACTGGCATACCATTAAGGCAGACAATGGTTGTTTACCTGGTGTTGTGGCAAATCTGTACGGCACCATGCTTGAGGTCATACAAAAAAGAAGTGATCTACTGTGCTATGAATGGGTGTCAGAAGGCCTGCTGTCTGACTACTACACAGAACATGAGGACAATCCGGAACATTCTGTGATGTGCACTAACCTGAAACTGCTCTCTGTCCCCAGGCATTGTGGGTCTGTGGGCTACTGAAGTCCCAATAGTTGACGTGGACTTAGGAGACTATAGCATACACTGCAATTTCAGTGCTATAGGTGTGCTTATATGCAATAAAGAATTTACTTTGCAGGACTAAACTTTGTGTGCTCACTGGAATCCAGAAGAGTTTTGCCATTGATTTCAAAGGAGTTACAGCAGGGGGCCAGATCCAGCCCGCCTAAGGGTGTGTCTAGACTACCTAGTTTTGTCGACAAAAGTGGACTTTTGTCGACAAAACTATACCAGCGTCCACACTACCGCTGAGTTCTGTCGACATAACGTCGACAGAACTCAGCAGTTTTGTCGACGCTGGTATACCTCATTTTACGAGGCATAACACCTTCTGTCGACAGAAGGTGTTATTGCCTGTAACATTGCGTCCAGACTACGGAGTTCTGTCGACAAAGCAGCTTGCTTTGTCGACAGAACTCAATGTGTCTGGACGCTCTTTGTTGACAGAAGTTTTGACGACAGTATCTGTCGACAAAACTTCCGTCGACAAAACGCGGTAGTCTAGACGTACCCTAAGGCTTTAATCCGGTCCACGTGGCTGTTCCAGGCCCTGTCCCCTAACATGTTACCTGGGAGCTGGAGCAGTGCAAGCCCTTTCAACTGCTTCTATTTAAAGGACTTGCACCTTCCGTGTGGCTGGCAGGCAAAAGCCCCGGGAAAGGTGTAAGCCCTTTAAATAGAAACAGTTGAAAGGGCTCGCGTGTCCCCGGCTCCCAGGCAACATGCTACCAGTGAGGCCAGGAGCAGCGAGCCCTTTAAATAGCAGGAAGTGAAAAGTCTCGCAACTCCCGTCTCCAGCTAATGCAATGCCTGGGAGTTGTGGGGAAGGCACAAGTCCTTTCAACTCCTGCTATTTAAAGGCTCCACCCCTTCCATCTGAGGCTCCACCCCTTCCATCCGAGGCCCTGTTCCTTCCAGGGTGGCCCGCAACCACTTCAAAAATGTTTGAAATGGTCCCCCCTCAAAAATTATTGCCCACCCCTGAGCTACAGTGGGCCCCTTATAAGAGCAAGTTTAGGTCAGAGATCTAATGGGCCGGTGAATAAGGCACTAGACTGGGCCAAAAGAGACCTGAATTCTGTTCCTAGTTCTATCACCGAATTGCTATGTGATTTTAGGCAAATCACATCACTTTCTGTGCCTCTGTTTCTTCTCACACGGTTTTTCTATTTAGCATGAAAGCTCTTCAGTTTATGGAGGGTCTTTCCACATTTGTATAGCTCCTCTCACAAACTGGGGCCCCAAGTCTCAACATCGCCATAATGGAAATAATAGTTATGGCTATGATGAAACAGATGCTTTCTTTGACAGACTCAAAGCTGTTGCGTCAATACTAAGGGTAGTGCTGCATACGATGTGCAGAATAATACTTGGTATGCTTGTTCTTTGACAGAAGAGCTTGGGTATTAATGGGCACTGGGGTTGTCCTCTTTCTTGTTTTTGCGAAAAGAATAAAGCTCAGAACTGCCCAAATCCATTTCTGTTCTCAGAATAGTCCATAGAGTTTTTTTTTAATTGTTCTTTCATCCAAGGATCTAAATGTGCTTTCCAGACATCAGTGGAATTACCTGGCGGGAAGAGGGAGGTGATGTGAGTCTCTGAGACTAGCACTGTTGTCACTGTTTTACAAATGGGTAATATACAAGCACATTGGGGGAGGGGAGAATGACCAGATTATGAACATCTACTCCCTATTTTTGCACCTTGAGATTGCTAGTGAAACTCATGTGTGGGATGCAATAGGACCAACAAAATTGCCAGGCACCTGGGCAAGGAGGAGGAGGTGGCTCTGTGCTCCTGTAAGGGTTGGGGCCTTGGGCGGAGGGGATGAGGTGTGGGGCTAGCCTCTCCATGCCAGCCCTTCAGGGCCACCGGCAGCACTCTGGCGGCAATTTAAAGGGCCCCAAGGCTCTGGCTGCCACCACTGATGCAGTAGAAGCAATGAAGCATGGGAGCTTGTGGCCCTTTTGAATCGCTGGATCCTGGGGCAACCGTCTGGTGGGATTCAATGAAGTGGCTGCTGCACTGGTAACTGTATCCTAAGCAGCAAGCAGCCACCATTGCAGTCCTTGTGCTTTGTGAAGTGCTGGAATGGTTCCCTCCATCCTCTCCAATGGGGATGAGGAAGTGACAAGGCCCGGGCCACCACGTGTCTCCCTGCCTGCCCTTGGAGGTGGCCTGGCATGCTGCACCCTTGAAGGGACATGGTCCTGTCAGCTTCCTTGGCTTTGCTGAATAATATGGCAGAGATTTGTAGTGATATACTCAGCTTAGTGCATTTTTATATCTGCCTGATTGGGCCCATGAGTCAACTACTAAGAACTGGAACTAAGAGACTTAAGGTAAATCAGTACCAGGAGCTCCTTGATGTATTCAGCAATAGAGAGGTAGCTGTGTTAGTCTGATCTTGCTAAAACAAAAGGAAAAACTATGTAGCACTTTAAAGACTAACAAGATGGTTTAATAGATGATGAGCTTTCGTGGGACAGACCCACTTCCTCAGATCATATTCTGGAAGAGAATTGACATGACCCACTTAACATCCCTGATTAGCCATTTATTGACTCAAATAGCTGTTCCCTCCCTCCCTCCCCCTCACCCCACTTTCTGTACTAAATCTGATTTTTCAGTTTAATAATGTGTTCATTTTTTTCATTGTATTCCTTTGGTATATATGGTCATGCCAGTTCTCTTCCAGAATATGATCTGAAGAAGTGGGTCTGGCCCATGAAAGCTCATCACCTATTAAACCATCTTGTTAGTCTTTAAAGTGCTACATAATTTTTCCTTTTGTGATTTATTCGGCAACATTCTACCTCCTATGACATTGGTGATGCCTGCACATAGATATCACAGGCCCTTCCTCAGTCTGTGTAATACCTTGCTTTGAGAGTAAGTACCACTGATTTCAACAGGACTGCCATGATCCCTGGGTAAGCTTCCTCTTTTAGCACTCTTTTTTTAGGGGGTACCCAATGAAACTAATAAGCATCAGGGTTGACACAAGTATAAAGAAGTATTTCTTCACACAACAGTCAATCTATGGAATTTGTTGCAGGGGATGTTGTGAAAGCCAAAAGTATAACTGGGTTCAAAAAAGAATTAGATGAGTTCATGGAGGATTAGCCCATCACTGGCTATTAACCAAGATGGTCAGGGATATAACCCTATGCTCTAGATTAGTGTTGATTAACCTTTTTAAATAAAGTATCCCTTTAAAAAATATATAAGTACCCCCTTTCAAAAAAAATTATAAGTACCTACAGTTTTCAGACACACCATTTTTTTCTACCATTTAAACAACATAATTGTAGCTGGGCGGGCGATGAAATTTTTGGGTGTAAAAAGTACAAAAATAATAAAGTGCTGTAAAACTTAACACAAAAATTCAGTTTTCTCCAAATTTCAGTTGTATTGATGTACCCCCCAGAATTCTCATGAGTACCCCTAACAGTACTCGTACCACTACTTGAGAAACACTGCTCTAGATGTCCTTAAACCTCTGACTGACAGAAACTGGGACTGGACAACAGGATGTGGATCATTCAATAAATTCTCCCGTTCTGTTCATTCGGCCTAAAGCATTTGACGCTGGACGCTGCTGGAAAACAGGAAATTGGACTAGATGGGCTAGGACCATTGATCTTACCCAATATGGCCATTCTTATAATTTTAAATATTTTGTTCATTTTAAATGTTTCCTTTTTACATACTGGATAAGTCTCATCCAAGAAGTAATTTGAGTTTCAAGGGCCTGAAAAAAATGCTGTTTTCATGCACTCATTATGGTGTAACACCTTTCCCTTAGAGGCTGGATGTGCTAGACAATGGAATAAGTATGAGGAAGGCAAGATCTGGATAACTGCACAGAAGATACATTTCCTTATGTGGGTTGTAGGCTGGAGTAACCTGCCTTGAGCAGTGCTGCTGTCATTTTGCAGGGAGAGAATTATTTTCTTTTTTCACCTTAATCAAACCACCTGCTTCCCCCCCCTCCCCCACCCAAACAAGCTATTTACATTGCTGTGGAGCCATGGATTTGCAACAAAAATGCATGCTAATATCTGATACCTGTACGTGCCTACAGGTTCTCAGATAAATCCTAGCAGCGTAGCACTGAAGTCAATTGGAGCTTTGACATTGACTTGAGTGGGTGCAGGATCAAGGTTCATCATGTAAAAGTAGCTATAATTCTGCAAAACCACCGCTCCACCCCTCCGGCCTATATTCTGAAGGGCTCATGCCAGATTTAAAGCTCAACATCTAATTGCCACACCAGCAGACCTCTGACTGCAGTAAAAATGAACAGAAGCCGTTCATCGTTTGACTGGCAATATTCTGATACTGATATTCCAGACATTGGCTCTTGAGTTATATAATTTATACATGCAGAGCTCAGGGAAAGCACAACAACAAGCAGTATTGGGAAGGAAAGAAGCAAGTAACCTATATATATAAATATATAACAAATATATTTGTATTTGTAGCCTTCAGTTATCTAAGTAGAATGGTGATGGGACAGTTTAACATTTTGCTCTTGCTGACTGTTTGCAATAACAGTGTCAACTGTCCTTCTGACTCTGAGTTTCAACAAACTGTTTAGAATTAACATGTATGATTTGTGTGCCTTTCTGTTAACACTTAATCCTCTGAAGCCCTTCTTAGGCCTGTGTTTATAATTCAAGCAGTAA